AAGTAATTGTTCGCCTTCTTCTGTGTCCCATAATGCTTTTCATTTCGCTTGCAGTTGTTCGTGCCTTGGCGTTAGAAGGAAATATATATCAGAAGAAATGGTAAACGATTTAGAAGAATTATCTGATGTTAATTCTGTGTCGGTAATAAGTTCTTTTGAAGAAACGAATGCAGAAATTTTTTTCTATTTCATCTATGGAACATTGGTTTATTGCATCTACAAGTGAATCCGTGTCATGAAATGATAGTTTTATTATTCCTTATAAAGAAAGGTGTCAAAATATTTTACCACCTAGTTCTGAGGGAAAACAAGACATTCCTTCATCACTTCCAGACTTGAATAGATTCCAGAAATATCTGGCTCTGAGGAAGCACACGACATTCCTTCATCATTTCCATACTTAATCAATTCCATAAATAAAGTATTTGAGAAGGATTTTTTGCGAAGGTCAAGAATTTTCTCTTAAACTAGAATTTAATCGAGGAGGAAGAAGTAGTCTCTTGTTGAAAAGGTCCATAGCCCAATAAGGAGAAAAAAACAAATTACATATTTTGAAAACTAAGAAAATTGTTTAAAAGATGGAGAAATCATAAATTACGGCTCAGTAAGGAAAAAAGCGAATTATCTCAGAAAATTTACTTGGAAAACTTTCTCGCTAAATTTTTTTCCGAGAAACAGATGGATCAATTACGTTTGCTAGAAAAAAAAAGTAAGAAACCCAGAAACATGGGTACTTCAAAAGACAGAAAATCGAAATTTGAGCTTGTGACTTGATGATCTGGTTTGGTTTATTTAATTATGACAAAGCATTTAAGGGAAATCGGCCTAAGAGGAGGGACGCCTTCGTAGAGGACATTCTAACGGGAATGGGGTCTTATACACGTTACATATGGCAAAACACGAAAACGTCCATCCATCCAGCCCATTCGCCGGGATTTGAATCCCGAAGCGAAATACTAGGACTAGACGCTTTTATTGCTCGAGGAGTTTTGACTGCTAAATGTCTTTCCACTTTGAATTTACAGCCATATTCTTGGCAAGCAAAATTCACCTTGAAACCAAATGTATCATATAAATAAAAGAGAATTAACTTATTGATCTTTCGATTCATGGTAATCAATCTGTAACTAGATTTGAAAGAAAATACTGTGTTCCCCTTTTCTGTATTTTAAAATGATAGATAAATAATAATTTCTGCAATGCACGGAATGTTTATTCAGTGTAAATACATATATTCGGCATTAAAATCTCCAACCAAATAAACAAACATTTGCTAAATAAAAAGACCATTAAAAATGCTAACTGATGAATTTCAAATTTCTGAACCTTTTTGTTTATTCTGTTATCTGAATAAATTTATTGGAAACCTTACAAAGGTATGAGGTTTTCATTTTATTTCTTGACGCGTATATCCATAAAATATACGGAACATTTGCTTTATTCGTGAGTTTTATCATAGTGATACTCGATTGAAGTGTGATTTATTCAGTTTTGATTTTTGCAATTTTGTTTACCACTTTTTCGCTTATTATTTACAATGCATCCTTTTCCTGCTTTATTTTTAGTCATTCATTCATATCTTTTAGTTTATAAAAAGAAAAATCGATTTCGAATTTAGTTTCAAACACGCAGCATAGACTTAAATTTTTCGTCTTTTTTTATAGGAAACGACGACCAAAATTAAACTTTTCATTTATTTAATTTTATAAACATTTAATGTTTTCTATTTGGTACTTTTCGAGAAAGGTCACCTATTAAAAGATTCCGAACTACATGCCAATTAGTCTACAAATAATCCTATTTAATCTGCTATGTAAATTCATGTAAATACCCATGCTGATATAAAGCATTTAGTTTAAACAAATAAATGTTAACACCCTTTTCACTTCCTTGTACGAAGTAAAGGAAGTATCTTAATCCCGAAAAATCTAGGGTATCATATTTCAACAAAAATGTCTATTTTAGCTGCTCTCAAAACTGCTCTTTGTGTTCGAGAAATAGTATTTTTTTAAACTTCTTGAAGTGTGTTAACAGATTTTATGAAATTTGTGCTTAATACAATTGAGTTAAAAATTCGATTTTGAATTTATTTTATGGAAAAATCTGAAATTCTTGTTTCTTAAAGTTAATTTTGGTTAGATTTGTAAAGTGACGCGAGACCAGTGATAGTTTACTTAGGGATTGCTTAATTTGTTTTTTTTTTGGGGGGGGGAAGTTAGTTTTCTGACGGAGTGAAGTTTCTTGTGTAGCTTTATGAGTTTGAGTAACTGAATTTCTACCTAGTTGTGAGTTTTATGAATGTTTATTGCTGTCTGAGAATAGTGTGAAAACAGTAGAATAGTGAGTGTTGTGTTTTACATCAATTGTGAGTTGTGATTTTTGAAAAAAAAAATTTTGTGGAAAGGTAGAACTGGTATTGTTTAAAATTTTGATTTGTAGTTTAAAAGATACTTTTCTTACACTTTACTTATTACTGTTGGCTTTTCAAGTAGTTTTAAAGTTAGTTTTATAGTGAGTTCACTAATGAGTGATCTAACATTTGTTTTAACAGTGATCTAAAAATTTTTTTTGACTTTGTCAATTTTTGAGCTTCAATAGTTTTATTGCTTTAGTTTTGAATTTAAATTTTTTCTTTGGTTGAACTTGTTGCAGTGTTGTAGTAACTTTAAAAGTGAATGTGAAATATGTTTTGAAATATAAACTTTGATTTAAGGAGAAGTGAAAATTTGTGTTGAGAAGTTAAACTTGATTTTATGGAATTAGAAATTAATTATGTAAGTGTTGTGGAGATATTTGAGAAGAATTTTGATTTCATTTGTGAGATTTTAAGAGTAATTAACTCCACTTAGTTTTGTATTGAGTTTCTGTTTTCAAGATTGTAGTCTTCCAAATTTCTTTTTTTTTTTTTTTTTTTCTGCTTTTTCTGATTGACACTGTGTGGTTACTGACAAATTGTAATTGCTCTAGAGGCTTAGTGTACTAGGAGTTTTGCTTTGAAGTGGTTTAAGAAGAAGTATAGAATTGAGATTTGTGGATTTTGAGATTTTGAGTTTGAGATTGTTTTTAGTAAACACTTCCCTCTTGTCATCTTTTGCATTTTTGTGCCTGCAGTTTTGTAGTCTTGTTGTGAAGTTGTCATGCTTTCGATTGATACCTAGAGTGCAATGCATACTATTCACTTTCAGAACTCGATTACTTTCCAGAAGCTAGTCTTCTTTTGAGAACTATTTTAATTACATTGTCGTTGTGTTGATTACAGCCTTAGTTTGGTATATCACCTTTTTATAAGACGTGGATTCTGAGTACATTTTTAGCTGGTCTGGGGGTTTGTTTAGGGAACGCATTGAATTGCAAGTATTGTTCATTAAATTCCCTTACTCTCCCGACTTACATGCATATGGGTTGATGGCTCTATGATTCTTCATGTCAGTGAAAGGTATGGATAACAACTGTTCTTCGTTGTGACTCACTTCCTTTTGAGCCTTGATGCAGTTTGATTTTCTTCTAAAAATTGTGGCAAATTTTTTATGTTGGATACTTTCTTTGTTTGCGTGGAAATACCGGTGTGTGTAACCTGCTTCAGTTTTTGTTGAATTCATGTTGACTAATTTCAGAATTTCTTTTCGTTTGATATTGAATTGCTTATGAATTTGAATTCCAATTTTTTTAGAGTTAGTTTTGTTTTCTTGATGGAGTATTTAAAGTTTTTCCTCCGTATTTTGCAAATGGTTTGGGTCTAGGAGTTATCTATATTTGTATGAATTTCTTTTAGTTTCGGTTTCGAGTTCTTGACACAATAGTGCTTTGCGTTTAAGGATTTTTTTCGGCTGGTCCCAAATATTCATTTCCTTGCTTCAAATAAGTTTATCTAAATTATTTTTCCTTTTTGTTTCTAGATGCGCTCTAAATTCTTTTGGCTTACTTTTTTTCTTTTGGTCATGTTCTCTTTTCCGTTCCTGGGGGTTGTTCTCCGCTTGTTTCAACTTCTGGTTCATTTCAGTGTTTAATTCATTTAATTCATTTAGGATTAAAGTGTTTTTTTTTTTTTTTTTTTTTTTTTTTTTTCCTTTCTAGTGATTTAATTTTTTTTTGGTTTGTGCTCTGTGCGCTTTTATTAACTTGTTTTTGCAAATGGATTTTGATGACACTTCACTCCTGATGCTGTTTAATTGGTTATACGAGTTGTAATTAAATTTTGAATTTAATTTTTTTAAACTTAATGCTTTGTAAGTAAATTTTAATTTTTTTTTCTTTTTTATCACTGCTGTCCGTGACAACTAGTTTTGAGTTGATTATTTGTGTGACACTAGACTTGCTGGTATTTTGAAATGCTCTTTTATTTTGTTTTTAAAAATTTTTGAAGTTCAAACTTTTTCCCCCTGGTTCATGGGGGAATGTTATGTCGGACTATATTAATATGTGTTTTAGGTTATCATTATTCTGGTATTTTTATTTGTAATCATGTGTATTATAATCTGGTAAAAAAAAAAGTATTCTTAAATTGTTAAAGCCTTATTTAAGATAAAAAGTTAAATTATCTAATCAATTAAAAAGCTTTAAAGTTATCTAATCAATTTAAACTTTATCTTGATTAGGTAAAAAGTTATTGCTTAAGTGTTTATTTCTTGCATAAAATTATAAATTTTGACCGAGTCCAATAACGTATAAATGAAAAATAAATTAACTATAATTCCGAATATCGGTAAAAAACGCTCCTGACAAATCTTGGCACAACTTTTCTCTTTCGCAACAAATCTGGCGATTTTAGCGATTTCTTGCGAAAATGGAGACTTTCTGGAAGTTTGAGAAAAAGGAATTTTTAAAGCTTTCTTAACGAATTTTTTCGAAGCCCTTGCAGGGCCAATAAAAATGGCTTCGAGAGCCAAGGCTTAACTATATTTCCATACTTGCATATTTATTACTTTATTTTACTTTTGTTTTGTTTCATACGCAATTAATTTTATTTCAGGGAAGCGGTCTGAAGCCTGGCGGATACTCACCTGACAATGGTCACTATCCTTTTCCTCCCTCCATCTCATTACCTATAACGGGAGTACAAGCTATAGTTCTTATTATAATGAGTCCATAGAGACACTGTTCGAGAGACCCGGAGCACGTCCTGTTTGTTCACATCACACGATAATCCTGGCTTACAGAGGAACCTGGACCTAGAGGACAAAGCAGATATTAGCGAGTTCTAAGTGATTCCGAGAGAATGCTATTGAAAGTGTTAGCTTAATAATGTTTTAGAATTTAATCTGTAGGTGATATCGGTAATTTACGTTAGTTAGCGAGTACTGCGGAGGATTTGACTAATATCTGCGTCTTGCTTAAGCTGCTGCAGCTATTTATTTTGCTGCCTCACTATTAATTGTCCATTCCATTCGTTCCTTCACATTGTCCATTCTTTCCTTTTTGTCTACCGCGTTACGTAAAATGATTATCTAAGAATACCATCTGCAATAGAATTCCAAAAATTCCTGACTCTAGTTATTTGAAACTTCAGCTAAACAGATGGCTTAGTTTTGTTTTATTGTCAAGTAAGATGACACATGTTTTTAACTAAATTTCTAATATATAGTTTAAAAGGATAAAACGCAGTATGTATTTTTAGCTGCTATTTTGATTTATATTAATGTGCTATTAAAAATGTCTTTAAGTATTGCATATATAACCTTAACATTTCTTGTATATTCTATGAGCTTTGCTTTGCTATAAACACTTTTTACCCCGGAGGAGTGTTGGCCCAGAAGAGCTATGAATCCCGAAACGGCATTTTGCGTTAGTTTACTATAAAGGACTTATCTCTTTTTAAATTGTTGCCACCAAATATCATTGCCTTGTATTACATTTAAAGAAATTACATAATGAAGAATCTGCATGAATGTATGTGTGTTTTTGTGCAAGCAAACCTCCACTTTGTATTTACGCATCGGTTTCTTAATCGTAATCGAACGAAGAATCTCTTTGTCTTGAAGGGACCAAAGAATATGTATTGTTAAGAAGGAAAACTTCGCAGCAGCAGTAGTGGCTCCCTTCGAACGAAAAGGGAAACAGCTGCGCATGCGTGAAACACCTGTCGCCATAAAGCGCCAAAGCTCGAAGCTGATATCGAAGTTCGACGGTCACGTTTATCAAGAGTTTAAAGCTGTGTGACTCCATTTTTTTCCTCCATATTGACGGATATAATATCAGACATTAAATTGCAATATAGATAATGCAAGTTTAATAGCCAGTGAAAGTGAAACTTCACACCTCAATTTCTTATTCATCTTAACCCGTGTTTCCTCAATTTCCTGTACACGTGGCGCAGGAGGAAAATCTCGGCCAGGTCCGGTACATCACAAAGGGGGGTATTCTCGCCAACTGGTTCCGACGCCAAATCCCTTGGCGAATTTTCCCTTTTCTTTCTAGGGACGTAGAAGACAAACTGGGTTACATTACGTCTATGGAGCCTTTCCTTCTTTACATAGACGTTCTTTGAAGGGACTCCACAACCGGTTTTTTTCCCTCTTTCTTCTGCGTCTGGAGTTCGGACGTGAAGGACGGGCCAAAGAATCTTTAAGGAGAAGAAGTAAAGGTTCCCCGAGGCAAATGTGGCTCCGTCAGACCGAAGAGACACATTATGTATATCCCTGAAGCTTACTTTAAAGGGGCAAACGATCCCAAAGCTATCCACTCTCCGTACCTCACTGCGCATGTGCGAAATAACATCAGGAGGCAACAAAGCAGCATGCCGTCGGCCATATTAACAATCTTTTACCACGTTGTTCGAAAAGGTTGTTTGTTGTTGTAGTCAGAGATACTTGGTTTTAGTTATGTGAAATTCTTTTAAAGACTTTTTAAATGTAATGCTGTAAGTGAAATGGTTTTGGGTATTGGGTGAAAACTTTGCTCTTGGTTTTCACAATGGTCATTCCAAATAATTGTCTAAAAGCTTTCATGGTAATTTGTTTTTAAAGTTGTTGTCGGATAATTATAATGTATTTCAGTGTTTTCAATTTATTTAGGGGTGCCTTTAATTGTCTTTAATTATTTTTTCTGTTTCAGTTAGTTATTGCAAATTTTGCTTTTAAAATTTCACTGTAAAATTTTAACTATGAATTCATAAAAATTTATTACGTTTTGTATGGCATGTGTTTTCCCCCCTTTTTAAGTTTACAGAAGAAAAGAATTAAGAAATTTATTTCATTTAAATTTTGTCTTCGTATGGCTCGCTGTTTAAATTCAAAGTAAAAATTGGATAGGATTTGTATATTTCGCCAAAATTCCAACTAACATCCTTTTGCTCATAAAACTCCAGAAATGTATGAAAATAAAACTTGAGTTATTTCAAAGTAAAAAATTTACTATCTCCTCGAACTGCGCTGTTTAAATTTCACCCTGCGCTGGTGTTTCACTGCATAGCCGTGGCTCTTCGGTACAGCGGCGCAGAGGTGAAACAGGTTTACATTGCGTCTATGGAAGCTTTCATTCTTCTCCTTAGAGATTCTTTGGACGGGCTTTTGCCCTGTTCCTTTCCTGTCAGCTTGCTGATAATGTTACTTTTTTCTTCGACTGCTGCTTGGGAAAAGACATGCGAATCCTGACGAACTACGAAGTCAAATTGCTGATGATTTTTAAGATGTTGTAACTTTATGTTCGAACAAGACAGCTGCTTTAAAATTCTACTTGCAAGGAGAAGTGCATGAAAGATTGCTTCGCTGGAATTATATTGTATCGACCACGTGGTCCGTGGAATGTGTGATAATGTTGACGAGCGTTTTCTATCATGTCTAAAATAATGAATATAGTTTTCGATTGAATAGGCATCCTTCAAAATTATTTGCAGTTCTGCTCTCGCAAGACTTGTGTTGAGGTGTGTGTGCTCGCAAGACTAGATTGTGTTGAGGATAACAGATTGGCTTGATCTTGTGTACTCGACGGCAGTGTATGTGTATTTTGACGTGTCATATGTATGTCACGATACCGTAGATCTGGCAGTACTAATGAGTGTTATTCAGTGTGTGACATTTTATTAATTAGGCCCGTTTCCATTTACATTTCATAATATTTATTCAAGTAAATAGTGATCCTCAGAAATAAAAAAAATAAAGAAAGGTTTTTCACATGTACTCATTTTTTCTCGTCTTTCAGCTCCTGGTTTCTGATTCTGGGAAAGTTTCTAACAAAATGTTTCTTTCCTTAAGTCACACATCTCATCTCACATTCATATGTATCATCGGGTTATTGCGGTACTCAGGTTATAATACTTTGAACTTATTCTAACAGCTGTTTCGCATTGTAAAAAGACGACGATACCTAGAGCCATCAAATTATGTAATCCTCCACCTGAACATGGGTACTACATTAGGTCTAATTGCCAATCTTTCTGTGTTTCTCCTCTCACAATTCTTTCTTAGATCTATATATTGGCTAAAAGCAATTAAATCCCGATTGAATCATTTTTGGAATTATTCATTTACTGTCAGCTTTGTAATTTAAATTTCTCATAGCAAATAATCCTATTTAAAGCAATTTGACTGACGTGGCACTAAAACCTAAATGTCAAATTCTGTAAAAACAAAATAAATACCAGTAGCATAACTTCATTGTTTTTAAAAAAATCATCTTTAATAATTTCTTCCTCTCCACCATAGTTTTTAGCTAGTTGCGGATAACGAGCGGTCCCAGAAGGGTGGTTTTGTTTATTAGTGAAGGCAAAGCAAATGAAGATTATCTACCCAAAGTTCGGGTGTCTTTCGTGCAAACATTCATAAGACAAATTGTCTCATATTTACGTTACACATAAAGAAAATGATTTTGAAAGAAAAAATAGGCTATAAAAGAGATAAAAATGTAAGGTTTTAATTAACAGGAAAGCAGTATTTTTTAAGTTGTTTAGTTTTTAATTCAGATTAAAATCATTTACCATTAATCAAGAATAAAACGATGGATTTCAAATCATTGCAAAAAAGCATTTTTTCAATAAATCAGGTAATTTATATATATGCTTTTTCTCATTGAGCTCAGCTGCTTCATATATTAATATATCATATAATTAAAGTGGTCTCAGGAATCTGGAAATGAAGCTGCAGTATTGGAGTAAAATAAACTTAAAGCATCTAAAGTCAATATTAGATTGGAATTATAGCAAAACAATTCCCTAAGAATATTAATAATTGCAAATTTATGTAAGAGGTATAACACAATATTAAAACAAATCAAACTTAAAATAAGAATTAATAGTAGAACAAACTCGAAAAATAAAAATGCGAAAGGGGAAATATGCAAATAATAAACATACACTGGTGTGCAAAAATTAAGGACGAGACGGTTTTTACAATATAACTTTGTACAAAACCTTTCCAAATCAACACATTTAATACCGTAAGATCCCCAATACGTAAGGACATGAGTAATGTAAGCAACACTTACTAAAAGAGAAATCAGAGGGATAAAAAGAAGCTTTATTGAAAAGGTAGCATGGAGCGGAATGCGACTGAAGGCCGAAACATCCCTGTGATGGGTGTCCAGCAAGAAACATCCCGTCTTTAATAGGGGATATGATCTCCCCTGACTCCTAGGCAGGTTTCACAGCGTCTGCCCATGCTGAGAATGAGGGTGTTAATGAGTTGTTGAGGCACTGCTACCCATTCGTCTTGCAGCGCCAATCGAAGCTCCGGAATCGTTACTGGTGGTAAGGTACGAGCTGCCAAGCGGCTGCCTAGAAAATACCATACACGCTCGATGGGATTGAGATCCGGAGATCGTGCCGGACAATCCATACCTTCAATATCCTCATTCTCTAAGAGCTGTTCGGCAGTTACTGTGCGATGACATGGTACATTGTCGTCCATGAAAAGGAACTGCGGACCCAAAGCGCCTCTAAAAAGACGCACATATGGAAGAAGAATCTCGTTACAATAACGGGACCCGTTGACTGAACCTGCGTCGAAGATGTGAAGGTTTGTACGACTACCAAGCATGATGCCTCCCCAAACGAGAACACCGCCACCTCCATACCTGTCCCTTTCAATGATGTTCGAGGGATGATTGCGGCTTCCTCGCTCTCTCCAGATGAGTATGCGATGAGAATCACTACTCAGACTGAATCTGCTCTCATCTGTAAAGAGTACTCGTCCCCATTCATTGTCTGTCCAGTTCCGGTGTTCCCG